GAAACTGTTTATTTCTAAGCTAGAAAAGAAATAGATCGTTTCTGCACAGAAAATACGAGAAAACTAGGCTAGATAATCTATATAAAATTTCTAGCTAGAAAATTAGCCTTCGTTCGGTGCGGGTAGGGGCCCTTTTTTCTATTCAACCAATTTTTGAAATTTTTAAATTTTGACGAACATTTTTATACCATCTGAAAAAATTTGCTGTTTGGAGCTCAATGGCAGACAGATATATAATTTTTTATTATTTCATGATGTTTCATTTCAAAAACTTTTATTGGCCTTCAAGTTCAGTCGGCACCACTCAGGGCTTTGCCCTGATATTCGAGCATTATTTTTCAGTTTCTTTCTCACTTTCTCAAGAAACAGTCAAAATTTGTCAAACGGCGTCTAAAGTCTGGCAAGTTACTTGAAAGTATTAGACTCTCATGAACAAACAAATGATTTTATGTTTGGTAACTATTTGTATGAGCTTTTAGGCGCAACATTTTTTTAAAAAAATGACATTTTAGTTGATAATTTGGAATTCGAACCTAAATTCTCTGACAAAGGGAAAAGTATCCCCAAAAAGCAAATTCGAAACGTTGTATAAATTCGAAAATAAAATATTGTTATAAGCAGAAGGGAAGCGGAGCTTCGCACCACTTGCCATACCGCACACACATAGCATTGCAAGCTGCAGACAGAAAAAGAAACAAAAGCCACTAAGTCGAAAAACAATTAAAACGTTACGAAAAAACCATAACTACAAAATTTTCAGAAATTTGTCTGGAAGATGTTCAGTTTAAAAAGCCAAAAATTGGCGTTTAATAAGTATTCAGACACAAAAATTGATTGGCAACTATGCCGGCAAAATTAGGTTAGACTCGTGGAGGAGAGCAAAAATGCTTTCAACTGAAAATTTTTGGAAATTCCGAAAATCAAAATTTTTACGCTCCCCTCTCCGGAAACCCGTTTTTTTGTTGAAATAACACTTAACTAGGTCAGTGTATCGATAAAACATAAGCAAAAACAATTGAAGCCAACAAACCGGTAAAAAAACGAAAAAAAAACTTTCAAATAAAACTTTCAAATCTCAAGTAAGTTTGCAAATTACAGAAACAAATCAAAACTCTTTCAATTACATTAGAAATTAGTTTTAGCCCAGGAAAAATCCGTAAGAAGGCAACTAAGCCGACCAAACATAAGCATACATAGACACGGAACAGATCGACAGTTTTTTGAAACAGCCTATTTTCTTTTTGAATAAAAAATTCTGGCCTGGTTCGAACACAGGACCTAAGGCGTAGTAGTATTTTTCTCTCAAAAACCATTTGTGTCTGAAAAGCTATTAAATTTTTTATGTATAAGCCAAGTTATCATGTTTTCTATAAAAAAATTCTGTAAAACAAGAAGCGGCAACTAAGCCAACAAAACATAATCAGACTAACGATATTGTTTTTGAAACGGAATATTTAGTGTTCGAAAACTTAAGGCATTACTTTTTGAAAGAATTGTCAGTAGTAACAGTCGACCGGTAGGATTTCCACGTAAGCAGGTGAGTGAAGTCTAGTGATTCAAGTGATTTTATATAACAAGTTGTTAACCCGAATAAAGTTTAACTAGTTTATATTCCAGTTTGATGACGCTTGCTTGTCGCAAGCGTAATAACGAAATATTGAAACAAAATTGTCAATTTTTTGAAGTTGAATGAACGAAAACTTTGAATTACAGTTTACTGCTTTCCATGTATTTTCTGATCTTCCTTGCTAGCTGCGCTGTGATTCAATTGTTTCGCATCGGTTGTCTCGAAAGGTTTGTGCCACGGCATAATTTAAGTTGTATCTGCAACATTTCACTGCATTTTTTCTATCTCAAATATAATTTTAAAGTAACCTTCTCTCAACTAGAAAAAAGACAAACTCGCGCTTTGAAATGATTTTTTGGAGTTCAGTTTGCAGAATTCAAACAGGCCTTGTAAAATTATAAGCTTTCATTATTCATGAGGGCATTTCAATTTTAATTTTTTGAGTCTTGAAAAAACTTAATTCACTATTTTTAATAAAAGTTTGTTTTGACTCGAGAAGTTTTGACTCCCAACCCGAAAAAGTTTTTTTGGCTTTTTAATATCATTCAGAAACGTCGATTTGCTCAGTTCATATTCAATTACTTGTTATCTCTTTTTGAATTTTTGTACAATTTTGAGAGAATAACAAAAATTGGACACGTTACACTAAACTTAAGCTTCTGGTTTTTGTAAAATACCCAATGCATTAGCAGCGAATCATTTAAATTCCAGTTAATTACAAATGTGGTCACGCTGCGTAACCAGTGGGGTGTATAAAGCACCAATGGTGCCCAGAAGTCATCTGATTGGGGGTTCACATCTCACGTGCTCTGGAATTGGAGGGTGAGCTCTTTCAAGGTAGCCATTGCGTAATGGACCAATCATGATTAAGTGAGCTCTAGTTCACCTTAAAGAAGTTATCTTCAGGTTATGCTTCCGGTTTTGTTGACTAAAACAATAAGAAACAAGGATAGCTGGTTATTGTACAAATTTTTTTTAAAATAAGTTTAGCTTTTTTATGCGTGGTGTGATAAAAGGATCTGACGTAAAACTATAATTTAGGCATATTCGACAATCATGGTAAAATAACCAAACAGTAGAACATTTTTTAATGGAAATGACTAGAAAAACAAAAAAATATATATAAAATTTTTTTTAATCAAATTTTTTTAGCGTTTTTTTTGCAGATATTTTTTTCAATTTTGAAGTTTTGATTCCCAAACTGGCATTAAAAATCTTCAAAAAACTAATTTTTTAAATTATAATTAAAGGTAATTATAAATAAAATTTTGTAAACGGCTTAAAATAAGCCTGCTCGCTGACTTTTGTCGCTCAAAATTAGACGAAGAAAAAATTGTGGGATTTTTAATGTGGTTCGAATCACAACTGAAAAGATTTTAATCTGATATATAAATCAACGCAGTCAGATTATAATTTGTGGTACCTGATTTTGCGTGAAAGACAAAAATAAAAAACTAAAACACCCGAACACAAAGTTCCTCCCCATTTGCAATGGTCGGAACAATAAAATGAGACCAGTCTTACCCTTTATGAAATTTTCAAGGTTTTTATGAGGGCGGTGAACAGCCTACAAAATCTTGTTCGAAAAATTGAGAACAAATGTTTAGTCTTTTTTGGCGTAATGGCAAGCGACTTCACTCGCACAAGTCTCGGTATTCATTTGTCTTAAAATATCCCTGAAAAACAAAAACATTTACAAAGTTTTTTTTTAATACTGGCAAAAAACTTCCAAAACTTTTTAAATCAGTTCTTCAAACGTTTCAACATGTTATGTTTTCTGACAATTTAGCGACGCATCTTTGTGGTACTTAATTGAGCATGATAAAATTTGTATCCAAATAGAATAAAAAATGTGTGCTCAAAATTGATGGGCAATTCATCGAAGAACGATAAGAATTACGAGGATTAGGTTCCACAATTATGAACCCTCAGTTTAATAATAACTATTTTTAAAATGCAGCAACTTTGGTAGGGACAAGTATCAAATTTTTGCGACAAAAATGGAGGGCAATTTTTGAATAAACTGGCAGTGAGAACTTTTAGCTTCAAATGAAAATCGTGCTATGTTAGCTAAGGGACCTTCGCGATGATTTGACGACGCTGTCGAGTCAGGGCAGATCAAGAACTTTGTAAGTTTCTAGAAAAGAAAACAGAGCGTATTCTCCAGAAGCTTAGCATAAAAAAAATGGAATGGAATAAAATGAAAAAAATTTTTTAACATAATTTGAGATTTTTTGTGAAAATTATCATCCCACACGCCATATAAAGTACGAAGTGATAAATTTCACTCCTAGTAACAAATCATTTATGGCAAATAAGCTCCCTTCAACCAATCTAGAATGATTTCTGAGAGTGATTAAAAAATCAGGAAAATCAAAAAATGGGAAAAAATTGAAAAACTAATTTTTTGGTTGTAAACAGTATTTTGATAAATTTTTACAAAAAATCTTTAAAAAGCAAGCACAGAAACGCTTTTTATCTGTATGTTTGACCATCAAACACTTTTTGCTTCAAAATACTGGAAAATTTTTGGATTTTTATCGGTTAGTAAAAGAAATTGGCGTGATTTTACATTTCAGACTACAATTTATGCTTCTTCTTTAAAAATTTTTTTGCGGTTTTTCTAGACAAACAACTAAAGCTAAAATTATGTTTTTGCTGACGTTTAATATTGATTATGAGCAAAAAATTGTAAAATTATAAAACTGAATGTCTTTTTGTGCACTCCATCTTGATAAGAAACAAAATTTTGATCTTTTAGAAAATTATTGGAAACTATTGGAAACAAAAATTGGTGTTTTTTTTGTCTGCTTTCCAATTTTTTTTTCTGTCTCGAAAATGCAAACTTCTTATTAAATCACATGATTTTTTGTAGATTTAATGGAATACTTGTCTACTCTGAGCCTTTTTCTGTGGAAAGTATATGATTTTCTCAATAAATTTTGGTTTTTTTCTGTTTTTGACACAATTTTCAAATTTAATATCTGAAAAATATCAATGCCAAAAAGACACCTCCTCTCCCCGTTCAGGGATTTGACTTCGGTTAATTTAAAAATATCAACTTTTGGGTGACCTAAACCTAAAATTTTTCTAAGTGCCCAATAGCCGCAAGTATATACTATTTTTGATGGTCAAAATTTTCAGAATGTATAAAATTTTTCATTTCGCCAGGCCTGTTTTTCCACAATTGTAGATAATTTGCCGCGCAGATTTTTGCACAGTTGCGGTGCAGATAATTTGGTCAAAATAGGATTTTAATAGTGATTTGGGAGAACTCGGAAAATTAATTTGATCGACCTAAAAAAAGTTCGAAAGTTCGACCGTAAAAAAACTTTAGACCCACTTCTGTCTTCAAGATATTTTAATTTGAATCCACGGTTCTTTTTCTGAAAGTTATATCATTGCGTAAAAACACATTGGTTTGTTTCTTTAGTGTACTTCATAATAGCGGTAGTGTTGCTCTGTGTTCTTTACGGGGCGATTCTGAAAGTAGCACACGAACAGCGAGCGAAAGACAAGAAGCAAATGTCGATCTACATGCCAAACCCGAACAGCAACAACACTCTTTCGGTTGCTTCCAATGGGAACGCCGCTTCCAGTGCCAGCGCAACGGGAGGGGCCGAGCAGACGAGAAGCAAGACCCGAGAGGCTAAGGCGAACCGAAAAGTGATCTACGGTTATATGTTCATAGTCGGAACATTCACAGTGACGTATATTTTTGCGTACGTGATGCTACAAATCCGCCACCACATTGACTATTGCGCAATCGGCTACGAGAACACGAGTCAATTTTACTTCTTTCTTCTAACATCAATCACGCTGCAAAACTTCAACGCCGCCTGTAATCCGATAGTTTATACCGTGTGTCTATCACACTTCAAGAAGGCGTTCCGAAAAAACATCATCCAGATCGCGACATGTTGCCGCGTTTCCGGTGATCGTCGCGACACCCAGACTACCTTCGTTCTGGACGTTCCGGATGACCGAAAAGCTTCATCGTTCAGCAAAAGGTCGACGAACGAAAAGATCTCTAGAAACTCAATTTTGTCCAATGGAATTAACGTAGACAATAAAAACTCGCCGAATAGAAAGCCAACTAAGCAATCGAATTGCTAGCCAAGAATTCAGAATAAAAAAACTTAATCATAAAAAAATAAGGCAACGTGAAATTATTCTAACAAACTGATATTTCACAAAACTATGTTGTATTTTTATCACTCCAATTAATGTTTCCATTACTTAGACTGTAGATGTACATGTATGTAATTCAGATATAGCTTTTCAGAAAAAAAAACTTTCGATATTGATTGATCAACCAAAATGCTGCTATATACTTAAAATTGATGAATAAATGTTCAATTTCTATTTTTGTAAATTGTTGCTTTTTCTTTTCTTGATCCATATAAGCGCAGTGGTTTACCAAAAAAATTTTAAAAGGGGGCGGCGGATTTTTATGTTTTTAAACTTTTGACGTTATTTTTAGCTCGACTAAAATTACTTTCTGACATGTAGAAATGCAATTTCAACAGACAGTTTTTGGCTTTTTTAACAGGACAGTTTTGGAGGAATTTCAAATTACTCTCTGAAAAACATTGATGTCAGAACATTGATACGAAAAAAGTTCACCTGCAACCAGGGGCGGATCTAGGATTTTCTCGAGGGGGGGGGGGCGGATTTTCAAAAAAATTTCCAAAATTTTGACGACCTTTTTTTTTTTAGGTCGACCAAATTGATTTTTCGAGCTCTCCCAAAGCACTGTTTTGCCCCTATTTTGGCTAAATTTTGTGCGCCGCAAGCAAATTTTTGAAAAAACAGTCAAAAAAGCCGTTTTTGGGCACTTTTTTTCGTTTTTTTTTTTGGCGCGCGCTCCCCTCAAAGTTAGTATATATTGGCGCCAAAGGCGCCTTTAGGAAAATTTTAGGGTCGGTCGGCCAAAAATGGATTTCTGAAAAAGTATCAAAGGGGAGGGACCCTTTGGGTCGGCAGGGGGTCGAATCCCTGAGTGGGGGGGGCGTCCGCTTCCCCCCTTCCGCCCCCCCCCCCCTAAATCCGCCCCTGCCTGCAACCACTTCATCAAAATAGTAATTGATTGAATTTGGAACTGCTTTGACAACGATGATGTAAGAAGGGATAATTAATGAGCAATGTATTCTGTCAAGGCGTACGCGTCTAATAAAATCACTCCAAGTTGAGCTGAGGCAAGCAATTCGCTCTTTTTGATACGTAACTTTTCGTAGACCGTATCACTTTGTACTTTACTTAGGGTGTGGGGGATAAAATGGTAAAATATAAAGGTAAAAAATAAATCAAAGAAATTTTTTAAACAATTTTTTCGCAGAATTTTCAAAATTGTTTCTTAAGCATTAATTTTTTCATTAACGCTTTAGTGCACTAGAAACAACCAGGGGTTTGCACTGATACAAGCATTCCGGCTCTTCAGGCGATGCTGCTATATCTGTCGGTGTGGTTTTTTTAACAAATTTCGACTTTTTAAGTAGCCGCTTTGAAAGGAGTTTTTTAACAATCTGAAGTGATTCATTCGATACCCTGAGCTTGAATTTGAAAAAAAATAAGCTGCAGTGTTTTTTTTTGATAGTGTGAAGGTTTAAACTTGGGACAATTAACGCGCGATATATTTCGTTCTATTAACGCAAAAGCGGCGATTTAATCCGCCACAGAAATCTTTCCCTTTTGTTATGAGCCAAAAAAAAAATTTTGAGTCATTTTTGATAGACTGTTTTTACAGCACTTTACACTTTACATGTGGGGGTTATTCTCTTTGAAATAATTTTAAAAAAATTGTTTTTTTTTAAAGTTTTCTTTTGATGTTTGACCAATTCAAATGTCTTGAAAAGATTACTTACTCCTTGGAATCTAAAGGGTAGTCGCCACAGTCAGGGTTTCGCACTGATACGAGCAGTCTGGCTAGTTTTAGATCTCTTGTACGATCTTAATTTATATTAATTAGAATATAAATTCTAGCATAATCCAAAACGAAATTGCTTTGACTTTTTGAGTTTTTGTTCTAAGTGCTGCTCTCAGTAAAAGAAAAACTTTGTTTTGGTTTCAGTCTGTGAGCTTGCAAACTAAATGATGCGTTTCAATGAATCTAGTAAGTTTCGATTAAGTGTTTTTTTTTCGAAAACTAAACTTAGTTTAAACAATTTGTTTTAAATGGTTGAACCATGGAAGCTGGAATATTGGATTGAGAAAGTTGAGATATAAGTTATTAGAAATTGAAACAAGGCTAGCCGGTTACTGTGCAAGTAGCACAGAATGTTCCGACCACAGTCTTTAAAAATTACAAGAAAAAGCTTTTGTTTTCAAATTGGTGAAGTTTTTTCTACGTGGGATGATAAAAAAAAGTCTGATGTAAAACTATATACATATATATGGACATATATAAGGGCATATATGACTTTCATAGAAATATAGGAAAACACAATTTTTTTCTAGAGAATTCACTAGAAAAACGAAAAAGAAAAAAAAAGAATTTAAAAAATTTCAAGCTACAAAACTCCAAAAAAACTAATTTTGCTTGCTTTAAGTTAAATTTTTAGGATTTTGCATGATTAAGTTGTTGTATTCCTGAATGCTCGCTTCATTCGCTCGAATTTAGACGAAAAATCAAAAGTTTAAAACCGTTTTTCTCGACATTAGAGAAACTTTTTGGCAAACTTGTTCGAATCACGACTGAAAGGGCTTTAATATGTAATATGATATATCACTCAACACTGTCCAATGATTATTTGTGGTACCTGATATTGCGTAGAAAACAAAAAAAATAACAGACCCGAACACACAACTCTTCTTTTTTTCAATGGTCGGAACAAATATCTAACTTTTCCGGAAAAAACACGAAAAAATCAATTCCCAAAGAGATTCATAGCTGCAGAAATAATCAAAAATACCGAATTGGATCTACTAAAAGTTTGGTTGAGTGGATATCACATCCGGGAAGTTTGCCTTAAATTGAAAAAAGTTAGAAAAGTTAACCGTGTGCCAATCAACTGACTTAATGATACAGATTGTACCAAAACACACATAACTAAACAACCAAAGATGGCACCAAGATTTAATGATACAGATGGCTCCAAAAGACAAATAACTAAATAACCAAAACACAAATTTGATCAATAAATATTCTAGTTACAGTAGCTGGGTTATAAAGCGTTCTCTGATTTATAATGAGCAAAGGTTTTGAGATGAACTACGAAACTCGATTAAACAACAGAGTCGACCTTGATTTCCCCACCTGGTTTGAGACTGATCGCAGCCAGCAGAATGTAGTCAAGTTCACACTTCTGTCACATTGGTGCTATGTCAAAGGAGCAGTTATAAACAAGGTAAGCAAAGAACCATTAGAGAAAAAAAGTTGGAAATTGTTAAGTAGATCCAAATGCAAAATTCTGAAATTGCAAAAGTCACCGACATTTGGGATTTGAGAATTAGTTTTTTTTTCTATTTCGGATGGGCAGCTAGCTTGTTTCATTTTCAAAAATGAAACACTTACAAAAACCAAACTATTTTATAAGATTCCATCGATTTTTTTTTGCTATAGAAATATACGTGTATTCTATAAACACCATTTATAACACAGAGAAGTGAAGCTTCGCTTTATTTATGGGGCAGATATTATCAAATCAATTAAATAAGATCAAACACTGGTACATTCTACATCAATTTCTAAAGCAATTATCAGCATTTTGGAGCTTACGGAGGACACAACACATCACATCACCACAACTGGCTCATTTATAAATAGTAATATTGAACCAAACAGTCTAACAGTACACAACAGGTTGAAAAATTTGCAAAATAAACTTATTTCTGAATCAATTAAAAAACCACACAATTCTACGAATAGTTTAACCAACATCCTTGCTTTTGAGAAGAACACCAGCTAATTCCAAAAGCAAAAACGTTTTAGCAATTCTTTTTAACATCGCATTTTTCAAATTGAAAAAAAAAATCTTAAGACTTGAACAAAAAACGGTTACAGGTTATCATACTGCACTTATCCCAAACGGGCGTATGATCTAGGGATAAATTGACCCCCTACACTCTTCCCACACACACACATTTTTACGTGCTTCTTTCCGGGATACACGTATATCATCATTGAAGCATCATGTGGTAAATCAGTATCAGTGAACCGGCTGCGGTAAAAAAAAGGTCTATTGCGGATATCCGATAAGTCAAACATCCGGTAGGTCAAACATCCAAACTTATACAATAATTACGTCATAAAATGACGAAAGAGTTTCAAAATAAGAGAGAGTCCAATTTGATCGTTCGCAAAATAGCAAGCAAATTTGTTCTACAACAATTGCGTATTCATACGTTGAATTCCTATGAGATTCCTATAGGATGAAATACTATCATCAAGAAGAAATGAAAAAAAACGTTATTAAATTTGAATTGATTTGAAAACTGTCAAAACACATTTCCCGTTTTTTACATAACCCAAAGTCTACAAAAAGCATAAAATATCAGCAATTCTGGTGGAAGGTCGAAGAAAAAATGGGCAAACAAAAGGGATTATAAACAATTGTAATGGATTATAATGGGTTTTTTTCTGCAAAACAAATAAATTAGAAATTCCGATAAAAATAATCGATTATAATAGATTATAATGTATTATAATTGAATATATTTGATTTCAAAAAGAGAGATTATAATCGATTATTTATTGATTAAAATCAATTTCTCCTCAATTTTTGCAAGACATTAACGCTTGAAACTGGATGCGGGTATCACTTTCCAAATTGCGTCTACCAAATTAAGTATGTTGTATTTTGTTACAAAACAAGGTGACAGTTTTTGCACCATGACTACCTTCATAAGAAAACCAAAAATTAAAACAAAGAGTTTATAATTAGTTATGAACTTTTTATCGTCCAACGTGTCGCTCAGTGTTGGTCAAATTTGCTGTGGTTTGTAATTGAAAATTGGCCTAAACAGCATCTTTTAGGCGAACAGTAAAAATCTAATATTTGCCCGACTTTTAAAAAAATTGGATGTTTGTTAAAGCTGATGTGCCCTAGTAAAGCTGAAAATCAAATGTTTGTAGCACTTTTTGGTTTTTCGGATGCTTGACGTATCGGATGTTTGCGCGGTACCCAGAAAAAAATCAACACAGAGGCAAAGCACAGCTCACACCAGTTACATTACGAAACATAATTAGCATGACAAATTAACCGACAAAAACAGATAAAAGCCAGAAAACAACATTTTCAAAAATGAATTTTTGGGAATAGTGAAAAAAGTGATATAACAAAAAAATTTGTATGTCTTCATTTTATCTGGAATAAAAACTCCTTTAAAAAATATAATTTTAGTGAAAGCAATTGAATAAAAATCAAGCATCAAACTGAAATTGCAGAGGTAACGTTGACGACTAATCTTAAGCAAACACACGTTGAGCCGAAAAAAACTGACAACATAAATACCTAAAAAATCAAAAAAAAAGTTTTTAAGGCACCCACCAAAACATTTAGATAACAATCTTTTTTTTTGCTCATAAAACGAATCAAAACAAAACCACTAAGCGGATATAACATAAATCGAAGCTGCTTAGGCAGAATAAAGGAAAGAAGAGAAGAAAACAAACAAAAAAAGCGTAGATGCTGATACTGCCAGTTAGTTGATGAAATTACAGATTCGAAGTTAGTTGATGAAATTTGAAGATGACCAGCAACCTGAGTCAATCTGTGAATAGAATTTTTTGGGGGGAAAAGTCTAATAACAGGTTGTAACATCTTAGCTTTTTGCAACGGTAAAGGTATTTAAAAAAAAACTGTGAAGAGGACAAACAGAAAAAAAATATTGAAAAATTTTCTTTAAAAACTAACCTTAATTCTCATTGTAACAAATGCAAAATATAAATTTTGAATACAAGCAGAAATGGGCTGGAAATTCCTGACATCCTTGAAGTATTGAAAAACATTTTTTTCCATTTTAATCGATTATAATGGATTTTCATAAACGATTTATTTATTCCGACAAAAAATTAAAAAAATATCAAACATTTTTCAATCAATCAATTGGTTATTCTTGAATTTTATTGAGACTGACAATGAAAACAATCCGTTATAATCGATTGTCATCCATGGATCCCAGTGCAGGTATGTGGCAAGGAAAAGCGCGAGTAAAACTCTGCCAACAAAAATCAATCTTCTCAGTTTTTGACAAGCTCCGTAGAAAATAAAACATGCTTTCAAGCAAGATAAATAAGCCGTCTATGTATGAAGAAAAACAATGATCCGAGATGTATTTGAAGTCCCAATTTTTTTCACTATTCGCCAAGTTTTATGTTTGAATAGCAAAAAAAATCAGAACAAATTAAACAAAACAATTGGTAATATATCAGGTTCTTTGTGATTCAGCTATTTTTCATTATTATCGATGGCGGCAATGTCTCAAACTTTTTGACAGTGGAGTTGTAAGTCAACAGGTTCATATTCGATGATTTTATTGTAACTTAAATTGTACTTCGTTGTTTATACATGAAGAGCTAATAATCTCTGCCAATTTTTGTTTTTCCCATAATTGATGAAAAGGAGGCTAGAAAAGTTTTCGTGTACTGAGGGGAGTGTTGTAAGCAGTAAATTAGACTGGAACCTGTTAATTTTCAGTCACAATTTGACTTTTTACTGTTAGTTGTTAATCTATCTGGTTTTAGAAACTTCTTAATTATTTTTTAGAAAAATCTTAGCGTTATCTTTATTTTTAGGTGTTTGAATTAAATGCTTCTATTCTTTTTAACCAATTGCCAATTGCAGCTTAAGAGTACTCTTCAGGCACCAATTTTTATTCAATGAATTGTGCCAATCGCGTAAGCCCAGACCCTTCATTTAAACACTGCATTTCAACTTATGACAAATTTGGACTGAAAATTGACAGCTTGCCTCCACTAAACAATCCATTGAATTAAGAAAATTGGCGCGTATTAAACAGCAGTGACGGTGAAGGTAGAAATTTTTTTATGGAATACTTTTCAATGAATGTTTTATAAAAAGTTGACTAATTTGCTTTAAACTGAATGGAAACTACTGCGTTTGAAAGTATCTGAATGTCCCAGGTATGGCAATGGGCTCCAGAGATCTTCGGGGAGTCCAGGGAGTTCGAGCTCCTGGACATCTCACAGCACCTGATGAGGTCTGAGATATCGAACTCGTTCTTCTGCAACCCCTACAACAAAAACGACTTCACACAAAGCGAGGTCAAAGTTCTGACCAGAAGGGAAATCAACCAATCAAGAGAGATAACAACTCTCAACTTCGTATTTGGACTCCCAATGACTCAGGTGGGATTTAAAGAGGCACAAAAAATGTAGTTTTGCGTATTAATCAACAAACTGAAATGAAGATTACCATTCCAACAAATTAAATTTAATATTTTGTGCAATATAATTATATTGTCTTTGTTGTTGCAATTTTTACGTGATTCTGATGTTGTTTCGGTTTCACGATACGGTGGTTTGTAGATATGGTGGTTTGTTGAACATCCGCCGGTAACATTATAGACATTTGAATAAAAATGCAAACAATTCTTAGTCAATTAGCGTAAATTAGCATTATAATGGATTCAAGATCAATAAATCATATTTAGAATGCTGTTTTGAAAAAAAACTGGCAGCTCAAATTCCCCCAAAATATGCAAATTATGTTAATTCGTTCCAAGGTACAAGGAATAATGTTCTTTGAGAAGCCAGTCTTCCAGACGTTTCTCAGCAAAAAAGTTCCAATAAACTGAATCGAAGCTTTAAGAGTTTGACTCGAGTTTATGGAAACCTTTCATTGGAAATTTGGGATGTTTTTCAATTATCTTTATTGGAAGAAAAACAAACATACAAGCTGGAGTGTCTGTAAAAGATCCATGCGCTGTTTTTGATTTTTTTTTGCCATTTAGATTTTAGTTCGCCCGGAATGCACCAAAGAGCACGAATAAGTGCATCGCCGCTCCCCTGTGTCATAAGATAGATGCGATCAAGTTAACATTCGCCCTCATATCTTCCCCTACAAAGTTAACATCCTCCATTCCTCTCTATTTAACTAGTGGTGTGTGTAAGCAACTCGATTTTGATTGGCTGAAGAAATCCAGCTTAGAACTACGTCAAACCCCCCCCCCCCCCTTTAAACGCTTTTAGCGGGAGGATGTCAACTTGGTCCGAAATTAATCTAAATTTCAGGTGACTTACGGAAAGGCGACCACCGAGACAATAGTGCATTGTCTGACTGTTGGTACACAACTTCTGCCACCCGACTTGGAAGAGATCTTCCTGGCCAATCAGAACGCGATTGTGAGTCACTGCAAAGTCATCATCGACACTTTCGTCAAAAAATTCCCCGAAGACAGCAAAGTGTTTCCGAAGGAAATACAACCCGCTCATTACGAGGTAGACTTCAGTTTAACTTATACGGCTGAACAACAATCTTTTAGCCCTAGTGACAATAATCAATTACTGTTGCTCAATTTAATAAATTGTGGTTTCAATCTTTAGTAACAATAATCATAACAATCATAAAAACAATAGTGCCAATAATGATAATAAAAAAAAACACAAGGCAAAGGAAGCAGAGTTTTGCACCGCTTGTTATACCATAACTTATCAATTTTCATGCTCTATTTCAAAATGTTTAGCAAAACGACTCGGCAGATACCAAATTGGCAACTGTTTTTTTTTGTTCTCCCGGATTGGTTGATAAGGTTGTTTGATCAAGATCGAATCGGTTTTTGAGCGAAATTTATAAAACATCAATGAAGTTGTTAAAACAGTTTTAACCTGGTGAATTTTGAGCGCCATCTTAACCTGGGGCGTATTTTCAGTTTCTAAAAGAAGAAGTGCGCAAGGTGATGGGGGACATAGAGTCCATGGCGAGCAAATCACACTTTCAACTGGCCGAGGAGATAAAAACATATCAGTTGCCACTCTTGAAGGAGTTCGAAGACCGCGGCGGCAGATTGAAGCCTTTCATCAAACAGGTATACAGGCACCTCGGAAGCCTCCCACCCCTCAAATCTGGTTGACCAACCTTATGGATGTCGACATTTTTTTACGTCGACTAAATTGATTTTTTGAGCTCTCTCAAATCGCTTTAAATACCCTATTTCGGCTCTTTTTTCTCCCCTCGCCCATCTGCAAAATTTTACAAATAATCTTTCGTTCATATTGTCTGATTGTTACAAAAATTGGCAAGTGAACTAATTAGGCAATGACAAACATATTTGGTCTTGAAACTTAACCTTGAAAGCGCCTGGTTACACCATTATTGTAACATTCGCCCGGAAGATACATATCGACGCAAAATAAAACTAAGTCCTAAGACGACTGGCTAACGTCTAAACAGAGCTTTATATGCTTTTCACCGTCTCTACCAAGCCAGTACTTTTCGGTGGTCTTTTCTAACATCGGGTCGACAAAAAACGTTACTGCTTTCGGCTTCGGTCAAAACACTCAAATTAACTTAATTACATGCGGGAATAGTGAGCTCAAGGCTGGGTCTCAATATCCCCAGACCACGAGGTCACTCCTAAAAACAAGGCTACTACTTATTGAATTATTATTGTTTTTGTTCAGTAGATAAAAATCATCATCTCCATCGAAGATGGATCAAACCTTTCCCCCAACTCCTAGCTTCTCATCCTTATCAAAATGAATCCAGTTGTTAATTAACTTCAATTCAGGACATGACAAGAAGCTAAAAGTTTATATAAAAGAATAAAAGTTTCATTTCCGAAACCCTTCCGGATTCTTGAATCCACTGAATCAAGCTCGTTAATCTTGACTTCTTCGTAATCCGGAAGGCTATCTTCCACCCTTCACCGTTGTCTGCAACGGCCTTGCAACTATTGTAGCGACACAACAGTTGCAACTCGGAACGTCCTTTTGTTTTTCTCTGTTGTTTTTTTATCACAATCTTCGTTGTTTTCGTCAGTGCGACTATCGTTATTCTGTTGCTTTTCAGCTTCTCTTGCCAAAATGGCCGTTTCTGACGTTTCTCAGAAATGTTACGTAATCACTTCGAAAATTTAAAAATTAGGAATTTCCGAATCCTTCAACCTTCACGTTTTGTTCAATCGTTCAAATAACGTTCTTAATCCTCCAAAATCACTAACTCGGAAGGCTCGCTGCTAAAAATGACTAAACTGCAGAGATTGCATTTTGGCACATTCTGGTCGAATGTCACATATATTGATGCTTATCGAAGGGAATTACGGAGTACTTGTGCTCTCTGTGGTTTTTTTCTGCTGACAAATTCAGCTTTTTTCACTAGCGGCTTTTGACGGGAGTTTTTTTCATCATCTAAAAGCATTTGAGTTATTGAGCTCATATTGATGATATATTTTACCAGTGACAATTTTTTGTCAAGTTATGGGGTCTGAAAATTTGAAGTTTGGCATATTCGGGATGAAAGTTTTGTTTTTATAGTTTTTTCCATTCTATCGAAATCTATATGCTTGTGGTGAGGGTGATTTTTTTTCAGACCAGATTCGTTTTTTAATAAAACGTGTTCAGCGAAATATTGTAAAGCATTTTTAAGCGTTTTAAGTGAGTTTTTGTTAAAGCAAGAAATCAATGCCTTGAGCTCAAAATCAATAAAATTTCCTGTCTCAACTTTTGTTTGAATTTATGGGAGTTTAGATGAAGGTTATCTAGCCAAATTGGGATAATTAGAGTGCTTGGAATTTATATTTTTTCATTAGTGCAAAGCACATGCAGCAAACGAACCCAGCTCAAAAAATTTCATATTGAGTTGAAGCGAGCTAATTGATTCAAAAAATGAGTTAATAGATGCAAGTTGTCACTTTGTGTTTGCATTGGTTATAATACATTGGTTGTGGGGGAAGGTTTTTAAACACCTTGAAAAATGTCAAAAAAAACCTGATCAAAGTTTTTCCTTGAAATAATCATGATATCTTCTAGTTTTGGACAACTTAAAGAGCATTGATTGGCTGAGAGTTTACGCGCATTCGGTACTTCGCGCATTATAGTAGCCCTCACAAACTTCCACTGAATATGTTTTTAGGCCCTGTTCAGCCACTTCCGGTCGGCATTCAACACCGTAGTGCTCGGATCGGAGAGTTCAAAGGTCAACTCTATGGTCGCTTTCCTGCAACATTATCTGCTGGAACACGAACAAGACTGCAGAAGGTTATTCGACGAATCAATCGCAGACCTCGTAGATTTCTCTCATTAGTTATAACCCAAAAAAAGTGTATGAGATACCTTCTAAGCAGAACAAAACATCAGAACAAAAAATAAAACAACAATGACAACCCATTACGGCGATGCTTAAAATTATCCGGACAAAACGAACGAAACTTGAAAACTAAAGCAAAAGCTTAAGCAGAAATATGACGTGCAAATTTTTTGCGGATTTTTTTCAGCTCTAAAATTTTACCCCAAAAAAGACCATTTTTCGTTTTCTTTAGTCAAAGTAAAATTATGCCAAAGATTTTGGTTAAGTTGCCGACAAATTTTTCTCCAAGTGAGCTTCTTATGTAGCCTCACAAAAATAAAGCAAGGTGTAATCTCCAACAATTAGCGCAAAACGTCTTAAAATTGTTTTTATGTAAAAAATGGCCAGCAAACAACTTTTTTTGAAAAGAGAAGATTATACCTTTCTTAAACCTTGAAGAAGCTCAATTTTATAGAGTTTTGTCATCAACTCAACGTCAAAAATTACGTCCAATAGTTTTGACGTAATTTTTCATTGACTAAAAAAAGTAAAAAATGGTCATTTTTGGGGTACAATTTAGGTTTTGCAAAAATAACTTTACTTTTCAACAGTTTTTGCTTACAGTCAACCCTTCAAATTCTTCATTAATCTGCACATTGAGGATATGACTTAAGATAAAACATATTTTCTGACTTCCAATGTCAATGTCCCGATTAAAACTTTTTCTCTTAGATTTAAAAAGTGTTGGCTTGCAGGCCAACCAAGAAGCTAAAATTATCCCACTATGCTTCTCCCTTCGGAAATCTTGCTTGTTATTGTCCTGAATACTAAAACTAAGAAACTCTGTGATTAGAAAGAACAATGAAACAATCTCCCTCTTCGAGAGATTACCCAAGCCTTCCACGTCACCACAAAGTGATCAGTTCTCCTAGCTGATTAAAAACAGTCATGTAGGCTGGAATATTTAAATATACTCCTTCACTCAAGCCTTTCTAAATAAATAGTAAGTGAGTGTCTCTAAAGCCACTCAACTAAAATCAAAATGCAAATTTATAAATGCAACAATTTCAAAACTCAACTAAATGTTTCAGTTTTCAATTACAACTTGGTTGCTTGGTTTCTCACTTGAGTTTTTTTCACACACATAAAACAATTCTGAGTTTTAACTTTTCTTCATTACTCCTTTGTTTTCTTCTTTTTTCGTCGTTTAGAAGTTCTAAAACTTCTAAATTCTTCTAATTTTTGTCTCTTTTTCCATCTTGCTTTTCGGTCATTCGTCAATGCTCCATTTCTTCCTCCTGTGATACTGACTCTGCACTCTCAGTCTCCGTATCTTGTAACACGTCGTTAGCTATCCTGACGCTGCTGGAAGCCGTCCTCCAACACTTCTGCTCTTCTACCCTCTGTTTGCAACAAGGTGAGGGATCCACGTTAGATTCTCTGTTCCTGCAGAAGCTGTTGTGGAGACACAACGTCACGTTTCTCTCCAAATCTTCCTTTAACATCTCTGCCTTCTCCTTTCCACTACGTTCACTCGTCCTGGAAATTATTTTCACAGCGGTGGTCACTGCATTCCGATGAGTCACGAGAGCTCGCTTGAAAGCTCCTGCTCCAATGTCCAGCTGATATTCACTGTACACCCTGCCGTGCTTCGACATATGCTTTTTCGCATACTCGTGCAACCATGCAGTCATGTTAGCTCTGAACCATGGCATCAATCGTTTCCTTGCCCATATCTTCTTCACTTCCATCGGAATGTTTAGAACTTTGCACATTGTCCCAAAAAGATCTAAATCTTTTAGACACTCTAACTTCCGCAACTGTTCTCTCGTCGGTGCCTCCTGTCTGTTATTTTCTCTCACATGAGCTTCCAGCCATCGTATCGCCATCATAACTCCCACTATCACTATTGTTACGGGCTGTGATGAATCTGGTAAACCCATGGAGAGCAGCTCTCCAGAGTCCCAGATCAACATCAGATTACTACGCTTGGGATACCACCAGGTCTGCAGCAAGCAGTGGCAAGGAAACTCGTCATATGTCAACATGATGCTCCTCCAATTACGTTTTCCCGAAGCTTCCAGTAATGGTTCCACTTCCACCATCACTCGGTGGACTTCATCATTCTCATCTACTGCATTGTAATCTGTGACAGTTGATCCTCTCTGTTTCTGTCTCTCAATGTCACTGAAGTTCCCGCTCACATAGTATTGACTCCAATTCTTCCTTGGTTCTCTCTGGAACTGCTGAGAACATCTTACATAGCAACTCGTATGACTTCTCGGACATTCTCGCCAGTCTCACACACTTCGGCACTGAGAAGGCTTGATCCACGATCGTTCTCGTACTCTTTACGTCCACAGCTACGAAATGTACAGGGTATCTGCTCTTGCACATTGGAGCCAATGTTGAACCCATACTAAAAAAAGTAAAAAATGGTCATTTTTGGGGTACAATTTAGGTTTTGCAAAAATAACTTTACTTTCAACAGTTTTTGCTTACAGTCAACCCTTCAAATTCTTCATTAATCTGCACATTGAGGATATGACTTAAGATAAAACATATTTTCTGACTTCCAATGTCAATGTCCCGATTAAAACTTTTTCTCTTAGATTTAAAAAGTGTTGGCTTGCAGGCCAACCAAGAAGCTAAAATTATCCCACTATGCTTCTCCCTTCGGAAATCTTGCTTGTTATTGTCCTGAATACTAAAACTAAGAAACTCTGTGATTAGAAAGAACAATGAAACAATCTCCCTCTTCGAGAGATTACCCAAGCCTTCCACGTCACCACAAAGTGATCAGTTCTCCTAGCTGATTAAAAACAGTCATGTAGGCTGGAATATTTAAATATACTCCTTCACTCAAGCCTTTCTAAATAAATAGTAAGTGAGTGTCTCTAAAGCCACTCAACTAAAATCAAAATGCAAATTTATAAATGCAACAATTTCAAAACTCAACTAAATGTTTCAGTTTTCAATTACAACTTGGTTGCTTGGTTTCTCACTTGAGTTTTTTTCACACACATAAAACAATTCTGAGTTTTAACTTTTCTTCATTACTCCTTTGTTTTCTTCTTTTTTCGTCGTTTAGAAGTTCTAAAACTTCTAAATTCTTCTAATTTTTGTCTCTTTTTCCATCTTGCTTTTCGGTCATTCGTCAATGCTCCATTTCTTCCTCCTGTGATACTGACTCTGCACTCTCAGTCTCCGTATCTTGTAACACGTCGTTAGCTATCCTGACGCTGCTGGAAGCCGTCCTCCAACACTTCTGCTCTTCTACCCTCTGTTTGCAACAAGGTGAGGGATCCACGTTAGATTCTCTGTTCCTGTAGAAGCTGTTGTGGAGACACAACGTCACGTTTCTCTCCAAATCTTCCTTTAACATCTCTGCCTTCTCCTTTCCACTACGTTCACTCGTCCTGGAAATTATTTTCACAGCGGTGGTCACTGCATTCCGATGAGTCACGAGAGCTCGCTTGAAAGCTCCTGCTCCAATGTCCAGCTGATATTCACTGTACACCCTGCCGTGCTTCGACATATGCTTTTTCGCATACTCGTGCAACCATGCAGTCATGTTAGCTCTGAACCATGGCATCAATCGTTTCCTTGCCCATATCTTCTTCACTTCCATCGGAATGTTTAGAACTTTGCACATTGTCCCAAAAAGATCTAAATCTTTTAGACACTCTAACTTCCGCAACTGTTCTCTCGTCGGTGCCTCCTGTCTGTTATTTTCTCTCACATGAGCTTCCAGCCATCGTATCGCCATCATAACTCCCACTATCACTATTGTTACGGGCTGTGATGAATCTGGTAAACCCATGGAGAGCAGCTCTCCAGAGTCCCAGATCAACATCAGATTACTACGCTTGGGATAACACCAGGTCTGCAGCAAGCAGTGGCAAGGAAACTCGTCATATGTCAACATGATGCTCCTCCAATTACGTTTTCCCGAAGCTTCCAGTAATGGTTCCACTTCCACCATCACTCGGTGGACTTCATCATTCTCATCTACTGCATTGTAATCTGTGACAGTTGATCCTCTCTGTTTCTGTCTCTCAATGTCACTGAAGTTCCCGCTCACATAGTATTGACTCCAATTCTTCCTTGGTTCTCTCTGGAACTGCTGAGAACATCTTACATAGCAACTCGTATGACTTCTCGGACATTCTCGCCAGTCTCACACACTTCGGCACTGAGAAGGCTTGATCCACGATCGTTCTCGTACTCTTTACGTCCACAGCTACGAAATGTACAGGGTATCTGCTCTTGCACATTGGAGCCAATGTTGAACCCACCAAATATCGTACTCCTGATGGTCTACAATAAGTCTCACTGTGTCTGATGTTCATTTCCGTCTCGATTGCTTCCCTCCATTTTCCTATGTATTTCTGCTCAGTCTGCAGAACTCCTGGGAATACTTCTACACTGATGGCTGTGACCATCTCATGTTTCTGTTCTAGATTCAATAGTGACTCTAAAGAACCAAACATGCTGTAGAATCCTAGTGCAGTCACTAGATTCACATCGGTTCCTCCATGGCAATCTGCTATCAGTTCCGTTTCTGTTCTTGCTTTCATCACTACGTTTCCAAACAATACCGTCAATTGCTTGTGTTGTTTTTTCAGGGTCTTCACGCAGTCCAGACTTCCACAAACGTGACCCTCCAGTCCACAGACTTCCGCCAGACAGCTACCAGGTTTGACCCAGTCTTCTGGTCCCCAGCCAGGCAACTCCACTTTATCTTCTCCGTTGCTCTTAGAGGCCGTTATCATCACATTATATATGATGTTGAGGTCACGCAGGTTACAGTCTGCATTCAGTTCCCTCTGTACGTCTTGTGTCGCCCATAATATTGAGTCAGCGTTGGGACTAGGACACCATGATGGCCTCATCAATTCCCACACTGCCATCAAGCTCGTTCTCAGTAATTCATCTGAGAATCCCAACCCAAACTCCACTCTTTTGTCGGATTTAGGTACTGAAGGTGCAGTCACCTC